GAGGTTTTTGCTATAGGGCATGTGCGCTCACTAGAAAGACAAAGACAGAGAGACAGAAAGCGAGAAATCACCCTCAAGGGGCATGGCCATGCCATAATCTCTTCTCTATTTCTCCTCTTGGAATCTTGGGCACACATGCACATGCACCCGGCATGAGTTTAACCCACCAGGTCCGGGACTTGAACCACAGTCAACTACATGGGAGTCCAGCAATATAGCCATTACGCCATCTGCTGGTCTCATGAGTATTTTTTAAAACATTATCTATTTAATTTATTTATTATTATGGCTATTATTTTTAACTTGCTATAGGGTATGCACACTCATCAGAGAGAGACAGAAAGAGAGAGAAGGAAAGTGAGAAAAGCAAGTCATGTGGGAGTCCAGTGCCCTAATGACCATCCCACCTGCTGACTCCTAGAGTATTATTATTATTGCTTTTTTTGGGGGGGGGGGAGAGGTTTTTGCTATAGGGCGCATGCGCTCGCCAGACAGAGAGAGACAAAGAGACAGAAAGCAAGAAATTACCCCCCCATGGGGGATGGCCACACCGCAATCCCTTCTCCTCCATTCTCCTCTCAGGATCTTGGGCACACACACACGCACCCGGCGTGAATTTAAGCCACTAGATCCGGGACTCAAACCACAGTTGACTAACAGGGAGTCCAGAGACACAGCCATTACGCCATCTGTTGGTCCCCCAAGAGTATTATTTTTGTAGTAAAAATAATCCTAATAAGCTTTACTTTTAAAAAGAGAAAGAGAGAAAGACGAGGAGGAGGGAGCAGATGGAAAGAGCGGGCTAGTGGAGCTGCAGACTGGCTGGCACACTCCCGCGAACGAGCTGCAACACCCGGTGCCGCTTTCACATGAACGGCCAGCAGGCAGCACACAGTGAGCAATGCGGCTGTTTCCTACACGAAAGCCTAAGGTTTGAAACGGCAAGCACAAGTGGAAAAAGGCAGGTTTCTCCTCAGTATAAAAAAGATAAGGAGTTGAGCAAAGCAGTTAAGAAATCATAGTGGATACGTTTTTTTTTGGGGGGGGGGAGATTTTTCACTATAGGGCACGTGCACTCGCCAGACAGAGAGAGACATAGAGACAGAAAGCGAGAAATCACCCCCCAGGGGGGATGGTCACGCTGCAATCCCTTCTCCTCCATTCTCTTCTCGGGATCTTGGGCACACACGCACACGCGCCCGGCGTGAGTTTTAAGCCACCGGGTCCGGGACACGAACCGCGGTCGACTACGTGGGAGTCCAGCGACATAGCCATTACGCTAACTGCTGGTTCCCCCGTAGTGGATACTTTTAAGACTGTGTACATCAGTGGTCCATAAGTCTGCACTTTCTTTCAATGTAAATTATATTCATTTGTTATCCCAAGGAATTATAAATTATTTACAAAAATTCTGAATAAGGGGCCAGCGGGTGGTGTGGAAGTTAGGGCCCTGGACTCCCATGTGGTCAACCTCAGTTCAAGTCCTAGACCTGGCAGCTTGAAACTCAGAGCAGCACGTGTGCATGCATGCCCAAAATCCTGAGAAAAGAATGGAGGAGAGAGGACTGCTGTGTGGCCATGTCCTCTGAGGGGTGACTTCTCACTTTCCCTGTCACTGTCTCTGTCTCCAGCACACATACATGCCCTATGGCAAAAACCTGACAAAGAAAAAGGACTGAATAATGTCTCTCTTGACGAGGAGCCATGTCTTCTGGATCCGAGCTCCTTTCAGGCTTTCTGTCCCCAGCCCAGACCCAGGAGGAATCTGACTGTGTAATTTGAGGAGACCCAGGCACCACCACCCCTCCAGAGGCAGCTACTCAGGTTTCGGGCGTCATGCCTAATAGGAGATCCTTCGATGTGCCAGGTAGGCAAGGCCTGTAACCCAGACTTATAAAATAACAGCAAATGTCAGGAAGGGTAGCCCATCAAGCTGCTGATACCTAAGGTGAGATCACTTTCCTCCAGAGAGGCAGGCGACTCCCAGCTGCTGGAAAGCAAAAGCCGGGAAGGAAAAAAGGTCCTTCCCTCAATGTTGCCAGCCCAGCCTGGGGACCTGGGAGCTGCAGCCTGAGGCTAGGCTCCTGTCCACACCCCGCAGCCCACTCCCTCCCCACTGTGGGCACAGGTCTTCATTTTATCTTCTCTACAGAGGGCTACGTAGGGGAGAAGAAAAGGGGTACAGAAAACCTTCAGCTCCCATGCTGCCTGGAACCCAGCCCTTGCAAAGGATGGAGACAGATAGGTAGATATTATATCATTTATGTAAAATAAGGCAAGTAGGACTCTAGCCTAAAACCTCTTTCTCTTCCAATATTATCATTATTTTAATTGCCAGACAGAGACAGGGAGACAGAGAGAGGGGGAAGAAAGCACCCCCAGTGAGCACGGTCATGCCATAACCCATTCTCCATTTCTCCATCTTGTCGGATTTTGGACACACAGGTGCACATACCTGGTGTGTTTTCCAAGCCTCTGGGACCAGGATTCGAACCACTGGATCCAGCTCCCTTAACCATTAGGCTATAGGGAGGTCCCACGAATTTTTTTTTTTTTTAAGTAACAACAGAAATTATGCTATGTAGTCAAGGGATCTGTTACACACCATGGTGACTATAATTAATAGCAATATATTGTACACTTGAAAACAGCTATGAGAGATTTTAAGTGTTCTCACCACAAAAAAAAAATGGTAAATATATGAAGTAATGCATACGGTAGCTTGATATAGAAGTGTAAACTTAACATAGCCATTCTGTAATGCATAATACATCAAAACGTTATCTTACACATTGTAAGTATATACACTTTTTACCTGGCAATGTAGATTTGAAAATTAAAAAAAGAAAAAATAAATTTCTACTGCTTAAGCAAAACAACACAACCAAAATAAAATGGAAAAAAAAAAAAAACCACCAAAAAAAGAAGTTACACTGTAGAGAACAGTACAGGATAATAACAACAAAGCAGAATGACAGAGGAAAGGGGATTCTGAGTTACTGAAAGGCTGAAGCAACAGCACTTTTTTAAAGAAATACTATTTTTTTATCTAAAGGTACATACAGTCTAACTGAGTCACTCCCACTGTGTATGAGCCACATCTATGCCCTGCGAGGCAGCGATCACACTGACCTCACGGGGCTCCGGCACCTAACACATCACAAGACTCTCTGAGCACCTGCTGAATGAACGAGTAAATGATTGCAGTCGCCTCAGGCTTACAAGAGTTTACCTTGAGACTCTGCCTTACTGAAAAGACGACGATTATACTTTATGACCTCAATCAGTTTAATCATCAGTGCTGGAAAATTACTAGAAACACATGGATATTCTATGCCGTCAATCTCATTAATACTTTTAATTTGTCTTGCATAGACAAGAGTAAATCCCAGCTTAGTTTCCACATGAACTTCTAGCATTTGGAATTTGTGGAGCTGAAATGAATAAAGCTCCAACTCCTTGAAAATCACACACTTGCTGGGAACCAGTAGTTAGCATAATGGCTATGTCGCTGGACTCCCACGTAGTCGACAGCGGTTCGCATCCCAGACCCGGTGGCTTAAAACTCATGCCGGGCGCTTGTGTGTGCATGCCCAAAATCCCAAGAGGAGAATGGAAGAGAAGGGATTGCAGCATGACCATCCCCCCTGGGGGGTGATTTCTCGCTTTCTGTCTCTGTCTGGCGAGCGCACGTGCCCTATAGC